ATCACTGTCCTAGGCCAACTCTAGTTAAAAATGGGAGACCCTATCCGGAAAAAATAACCCACAGAGCTTGGAGGCAATTGCTCAAGTGATAGAGTGCCTTTCTAGCAACCACAAGGTCCTGAATTCAAACCCTAGAACCACCATAAAGAAAGCGGGGGGGAACCCACATATTAATGTGCAATGAAGCATATAAGATTTCTAGACGTAGTACGTGTTCTAGTCCCAGCTACTCAGGAGGCCTTGAGGCAGAAGGATCACTGACGCCAGAGTTGGAAGCCAGCCCCTGTGGCAACCTAGGTTATAAGATGACTCTTAGTTTTGATAATATAACAAGCAATTAAATGTTGAATTCAGTAATCCTAAGGGCATCGAATAGAAGTACATAAAATTTGGTCCTCTAGTTCTGTTTTGGGAAAGATTAATTTCTTGAAGCACATAAAGACAATGTTTGAACCTTTGTTAGTATGTAGTTTTTTAAACTCATGTACTTAAAAAGAAATAACAATTAAAATAGCCCGGTGGGCAGGGACTACGCCTTGTGATCACAGCTACTTGAGAGGCAGAGATAGAGGATCAGGGTTTTTGAGGCCAGCCCAGGTGAACAAAAGTTTCACAAGACCCTCTACCTCAAAATACCCAACACAAAACAGGACTGGTAAGAACTGGCCAAGTGCTGTAAACAACAATAAAATTTCCTAGAGGTATATACACAGTTGATTAATAGATTGCTCATTTAATGAGAACTTAGTAGGTTTTTAAAAGGTATGTATCTATATGATTCGGCATGTATTTTTTTGAAAGGGTATTCTTTTTAAACTTTAAAACAATTGTATAAGATGTTATTACAATATTGTTGTTTTTTGTAAATGCTTGTCCTTTTTTTCTGATTGCAAAATCTTTTTTTTTTTTTTAAATTCATTTATTCAATGTGCATTAAATTGTTTGGTCATTTCTCCCTCCTGCCCTGCCCATTCTTCTTTCTCCGCAATGCTTGTCTTAAAAAATAGGGTTGGGGGCTGGGGAATAGCTTAGTGTTTAGTGTTTTGGCCTTGCATGCAATGGGCCCTGGAGTTCCAATCCCCAGTAACCACAAAAAAATATATATAATATATAGGGTTGGGCTGGGCTCAGTGGCTCATGCCTATAATGATAACCTACTCAGGAGGCAGAAGTCAGGAGGATCACAAGCCCAGCCTGGGGAAAAGTTAGTGAGACCCCATCTCAACCAGTAAAAAGCTGGGTACAGTGGCATGCCTGTCATCCCAGCCTCATGGGAATGCTAAATAGGATTGCCATCCAGGTTGGCCCCGGCATAAAGCAAGACCCTTGTCTCAAGCATACCGAAGCATCTTGGGTTGGGTGCGCAGTGGGCCTGATACCTGTATCCTACACTTCAGGAAGGCCAGAGGATCAGGATATCAGCCTGGGTAAATAGTTCCATGATACCCTATCAAAAAAAAAAAAAACCTTCACCAAAAAGGGCTGGTAGATTGTGGCTCAAGGTGTAGGCCCTGAGTTCAAGCCCTAGTACCAAAAAAAATAAAATAAAAATAATAACTAAGCAAAAAGGGCTGAGGGTATGTTTCAAGTGGTAAAGCACCTACCTAGCACATGCATAGTCCTGAGTTCAAAATCATAGTATTGCCAAAGAAAATATAGGGCTTACTGGCTCACGAGTGTAATCCTTGGGAAGTTGAGATCAGGAAGACTGAGGTTGGAGGCCAGCCCAGGCAGATAGTTCACAAGACCCCATCTCCAAAATACCAGAGCAAAATGACTGGAGGTGTGATTCAACAGGAAGGAAGGAAAGAAATAGGAAATTATTAGAAATGTAGCTCACTGATAGAATGCTTGCCTAGATATACAAGGAAGGCCCTGGCTCCACCAAATAAATAAAATTTAAAAATCATTAGATGTGTTCATGTAGCCTTTTTTATTGTCATTGTTTTTTTTTTTCAGTGTGCCTTCTTGGTAAAAGGAGGAAAATTTCAATAAGAAAGCCAAGAAAAAGTGCTGGGTTATGTCTCAAGTAATAAAGTGCCTGCTTCATAAGCCTGGAGCCCTAGTACACCAAAAAGAGCAAAACTTTGGGGTCAGGCACGATGGTCCATATGTGTAATTCCAACTATGTGGAAGACAGAGATAGGTAGGGAGGATCTTTGTTCAAGGCTAGCCCAGGACAAAAGTTAGAAGACCTCCATCTCGCATGTAATATATGGTGGTAGTGTCTGTATCCATCTCCTTGAGGCTACTCTCTAGGACAGAATGTTGAGAAAAAGTAATGAAAGCCAAAAAAGGCTGGGGATGTGGCTCAAGTGTGAGACCCTGAGTTCAATCCTCAGTACTGTTGGGAGTGGGGGTTGGGGGAGCCAGGAATGAGTCTAGCCATCTTTGCTTGAAAAGAGGTATGCCTATGGTTTTGAAGATACAGTATAGGTTTATAGTCTCTTTGCGTGTTATTCAAAACGACCCACAGGGACAGACAAGGTAGCTCAGTGAAAGAACTTGAGTGGGCAAAACCATGGTTCAATCTCTAGTGCCACTAGAAAACAAAACACATACACAAAAAATTCATGTGTGGTTCTTTCCCTGATAGTTAATTAACACAGGTAATTTTTTATTGCAGAAATAATACATGTTCTCTTATAATAAAACTATTAAGCATTCCAGGTGGACACTGGTTGCTCAGGCCTGTAATCCTAGCTACTCAGGAGGCAGACGTCAGAAGGCAAATAGTTCACAAAACCCTAGCTTGAAAATACCCAACACCTAAACAGGGTTGGCAGAGTGGCTCAAGTGGGGTACCTGCTTACTAAGTGTGAGGCCCTGACTTCAAACACTAACACTCCCAAAATAAATAAACAAACAGAGATGAAGCTAAATAGGTTTTTTTTCTTTATTTTAAGGAGTGCTGGCTCTCAGGCCTTTATTTTTTTAAGTTGTCAGTCAAGAAGAAAGTAAATATTAGTCCTTTTGTAACTTTCTATTAACTTTGTGACAGCCCAGTAATGATCACTAGTCTTACTTAGAGAGAATAGGACTAACTTTCAGAAGTCCAGACATTTTTCTACCTTTCTTATTATCTTCATTTTATCTCTCCTTCCTTTCTTTTATCACTTTTTTCTTTATTCTTTTTTCTGTTGTCTGGATTGAGATTGTAAATCCCTCTCAGTGAAGGGTAAGATTATGAGATCTGAGGGCTGTTTAGAGTTAATACTTAATTGTTGGGCCTCTTGAAGTTTATAATTCTTGTTCTGAGACCTAGGAATTGACATGTTATTAATACTATGAATTTTTAACTAGATTGTAAGGAGTGGAATGTATAAACTGCAAGCAGTACGCCAAATGTAAAAATACCAAAATCCTCTATTACTTGGGCTTACATTAGAGGTTTTTAGTGTTAATGCACCTGTGTCTTCTCTCTATTACTCTACCCTTGCTTCATTTGCACATATATTTTTAGGAAGTTGGGTGCTTATACTCATTATTCAAGATACTAGCTACTTTTGTAGAAGTAGGTTTCTTTGTGGATTTTTTTTTTTTTTAAACCGTGTTCCGTCCCTTAATTCAGAATGAAGTCATGCCAGGCTGTTGGTTGTTACATTGCTGTATTTCCCTCAGTGCTGGTATCAAATCTAGAGCTTTGCACATGCTAGGCAAGCTTTTACCACTGAGCTATATCCCCAGCTGTATGTATGAGTCTTTGAGCAACTAATTTTATTTGATGATACCTGAGATTTTAGTATATTCCATTATTTCTCTCTTTCCATTGTCACTACCCCAAACGTGTTTTTAAACATTATTTTTACTAATTTTGTCCTGCAAGAATGGAATACTATAGATAATTATTATTTATGTAATGATTATCTGTGCTTTATACATAATATGAGCACAATTTTTTTGTTTACACACACTTAAGAACCAGCTTTTACTCCCACTGTTGCTTTTGCCCTTAGTGACAAAAATGCACAGCATAGACTCATTAGTAATTTCAAAATCTGGCTGATGCAGACATGTCAAGACTACAGCTGATTTTTTAGATTACTGCCAAAATTCTAATTATATTCTACATATTGAGGTCAAAGTAGCTTTGTCTCAAAGATCTTTGGATTTTTCCACTTAATCTTTCCAAATTATTTAATATAGAAATTCTTTAAAAAAAAAAAGAAATTCTTTTGTCTTTTAAAAATACTATGTATGGGTGGGCTGGTGGAATGGCTCAAGTAGTAGAGCACCTGCCTAGCAAGCATGACGCCCTGAGTTCAAACTCCAGTGCCGCAAAACAAACCCCAAAAAACAACAAAAAAAACCTATGTATGGGATATAAGAGGGGGTAGCATCTTATAAAATAATACTTTTATGTTTATAGAAAGTTTGTACAGGCTAGGCCTGGTTGCTTACAGCTACGCCGGAGGAGTGGAGGGGGAGAGGGAGACCTTGAAAATCCCAGTTTGAGACCAACTTAGACAAAAAGTTAGCAGGACCCCATCTTCATGGTCCATCTACGTGGGAGGCCATAGGTAGAAGGATTGTGGTCTAGACTGGCCTGGACAAAAGTGCTAGACCCCATCTTAAAAATAACCTGAAGCAGAAAGGGCTGCAGCTGTAGCTTAGTGGCAGAGAGCTTGCCTAACAAGCACAAGGCCAATTTAAAAACCCAGTACCGGGCTAGCAGAATGGCTCAAATTCTAGGGCACCTGCCTACCAAGCAGAGGCCCTGAGATAAAACCCAAGTACCACAAAAACTTGGTACTACCAGCTGCGCACAATTGGCTCATGCCTGTAATCCTAGCTACTCAGGAAGCAGAAATCGGGAGAATCATGGATGATGGTTCAAAGCCAGCTCCAGCAAAGAGTTTTGTGAAACCCAATCTTGAAAAATACCTAACTCAAAAAAAGGGCTGGCAGACTGGCTCAAGTGGTAGGGTGCCTGCCTTGTAAATAGTCCCTGAGTTCAATCCCCAGAACCATCAAGGGTTGGGGGGGTATCAGTACAGTAGAAGCTAATTTTTAGCCTGAAGAAAGATTTTTCTATCATGATTTATCCTTTCATGTATATATGGTCTTATATTTCTTTTAGTGTGAAGCCTCATTTTAGGTCATCCAGTGGTTTGGAACACTCAACAGAGGGCTCTGTATCATTGGGGGATGGACCATTGAACAGATCTAGTTCAAGGAACTTTCCACCTGAGCGAAATAACCTTACAGTAGCAGAGAATCAAGAACAAACTTATGTTCCAAAGGAGACTCCCATTTTACAGATGGAACAGAATGGGGACTATGGTAGGGGCAGGTAAGGGTACATGAAAATTCTTTGTTTATAATGTGATCACTCTAAGTATTTGAAGACCACACTCTAATGATTTTTGTTCTTATTAGTGGTATATGGTTATGCTAAATTAATATATTGTTCAAATAACATGGGATGATAGGTTTTTTGGTTTTTAGAGGGTATTTTGTTTTCAGTTTAGATGAGGGTTTGGCAGTGCTAGACATTGAACCCAGAGCCTCATGCATGCTAGATCCTAATCAGGCGCTCCTCTTTTGAGCTATATTTGCAGCCCCAATAGGGTTAAGTTGTTTTTTTTTTTTTAAAACTATCAAATATAGAGTACCTATATAGAATCAGGCTTATATTCATTCTCAAGTTCTTTATAAGTTCACTGAAGAAAGAACTGCTTAGAAAAATGAGGTACACCTTTGCTTTTTAATTTTTTCCAACTTGTAAACTAGGTGTGGGGTTATATATTGGCTACCCTGGCTAAATTAAGCTCTAATATGCTTCTGGTGTGAAGGGAGTGCCAATAATAAAAATAAGGTCCAACTAACTTTGTGGCATTAGTAGTAGGTGAAATTTTTGGTACATTAGCTCAAAATTTCTTCAGAAAAATATATTCTCTTAATAATAAAGGAGAATAACCCCAGATTTAGAAAATACAGATATCCATCTTTTATAGGCTGTGTATATTTGAAGAATCTTATGAGTTGTTCCCCCTCTTTTTTCTTTAAAAGGAGAACTGTCTTCAGAGGTCGAAGAAGACGAGAAGATGACAGGATCCCAGTGAGTATTTTTAACCTTTAATTACATCTTTTTTTTTATTTGTTTTTCTCCTGTTGTTGTCATTGTGGCATTGCCTTGTTGGTCTTTCTGTTTTTTTTTTTTTTTTCTTTTTGTGGTTATATTATGGTTGTACTATTCAACAAAGTACATAAAGCCTGAGATTGAATTTATACTCTCCCTCGAGTATACACACTTAGAAGTTTGACTTGTGTGCCTCACTTGAAAAAAATATCATCTGAATGGTTTAAAAATAAATTTGAAAACTTTTAACTATTGCAACTGTTATTGCATTTAAGTAGTTTCAATCCTGTGTTCTTACAAACAGTACTATTAGAAATAAGGCAGTGAAAGCCTCTAATAATCATCATTTCCCATCTATGTAATTATATCTGAAGGAAAATTGCTATATAGGGAATTTTTGTGCTGTAATTCAGTAATGGTTGCCAAATAGTCTTCAGTAGGAGTTTTACCAATTTTCTCTCACATAAACAATGAACAATTACAGAATAAATGTTGTCATTTGCTTTAAAAAAATGTAGCAGTAAAGTTTATTAGGAGAGTAATGGGGTGGGGAGAGAAGCATTTCCTGTTTGCCACTCAGGAAATGGCAGGAAAGATGTAGAAATTTTTTTTTTCTTTTTCTGGTGGGTCCAGGATTTGAATTTGGCTTCATGCTTACAAAGCAGGCTCTCTAAGCTTGAGCCATACCTCTAGTTGTGTTGTTTGCTTTTGTTTGTTCTTGCCAATGTGAAAAGGTGCATAGGTATAGCATTCATTCTTAAAGCTCTGTTGAATGGTGGTGGTATGTTTTACTATTCATTTATTATAATTTTAGAGTAATTTTCTACAGTTGATTCTTTTGAGGGGGAATTAATTACTGGGGTTTGAACTCAGGACCTCACACTTGCTAGGCAAGTGCTCTACCACTTGAGTGACTCGACCAATACTACAGCTGATTCTTGTATCAGCTATCTTACCAAAAAAAAAAAACTTACAGATTAAAAGAAAACTTTTATATTTGAACCTTAGCCTTATTAATATTTTTATTTCTTTTGATCATAGTGAATGCTTTCCACCTCTTTACTAGAGGCAAAAAGAGTTGAGGAATAAAAGGTATATGAGTTGTATCCACTGGTAGACTTTGAACAATTTGCTGTTGTTCTTTTGGTTTGCAATAGGATGCAAAAGAAAATACTCCTTGTCCTTTCTGTCTTTGTGGCAGCCCAGATTGAATTAGGGGAATATACTAACAGAAAAAAAAAAAGTGGTGTGGAAAGGCATGAAGGTCTTAAGAAACACATACATATACACCCTTAAAATTTACAGATATATGATAAATTTGTAGTATAATAAGTCATATGTAGGAATTTTTGTAGCAAAAAGAAACCATTTTCAAAGAAGAAAATTTATTGTATTGTTACACAGAATATCCAAGGCAATCTGAAGCTTTTAAAAACAGTACTGTTTTTCGTTTGTAATTTTCTTATTGGCAGCCATGAAACTTCAAGCAGTGATATCTTAGGAACACATTTTAGGATTTCTAACACATAGTAATTAAAGTGATAAGATTAGATGAAATCATAAAGAAAACCCTTTGAAGAGTGTGTGATAAAAGAAGTCTAAATATGGAACTTGGGAAGCATAGTTGTAGCTTTGTTCAAAGCACCAAAGTGAAATCTGAATGTTGATGGCTAATAGAGGTGGCCTGGGTTGAAAATATTTGAAGTATACAATTTAGTGATACTTTTTTTTTTGTAAACCTTTGTGCAACTATGGCCACCAAAAGGTGAAAAAGATCATTTTAAGACTTGTTTGCATATAGGTAGCCACTAAAACCACAGTCATACTAGGAGAATGTGGAAAGTGAAAAGAGTAGAAACCAAAACACCAAAAATTAAAACATGGCAGGGAGAAAGGGCACATGATTTTCAGATTTGAGAAGAAGCAAAAGAGAGGTATACCACAGAAGCTAAGAAAAGAATGAGCTCTCAGGGCTTGGGCTGTTGCTCAGTAGTAGAATGCTTGCTTAGCATTCTTGAGGCTTTGAATTCAATCCCCAGCACTAGGGGTGGGGAACACTCCCAAAAGAAAGAGTGTTGTGCTGAGGTTAGAAAAAAGTATTGTCAGATTTGTTGTGGAAGGCATTGGTGGTTTCCCAAAACAATTTAGTTTGGGGGCAAGGAAGCAATAGAATATGCAAGAGGCTTATTGGAAGATATGTGTATATATAGGGTAGTAGATAGAAAGTAAAGATGAAACCAGGCACTGGTGGCTCATGCCTGTAATCCCAGCTACTTGGGAGACTAAGAATGGGAGGATCTTGATTTGAGGCCCGCCTGAGCAAATAGTTCAAAATAACCAAATAATCAGAGCAAAATGGACTAGAGGTGTGGGTCAAATGGTAAAGTGCCTGCTTTGCAAACTTAAAGCCCTGTTTTCTTGTAGCTTCTATGGCAAAGGACTTAAGAATGTAATAGGCACAGGAACTGTTTCATGATTTGTTTTTTTTTTTTTTTAGAGACCTAATCCTTCAACCACTGAAGCAAAGGCTCCAACACCAAAGTTTGACTTACTAGCTTCAAATTTTCCTCCACTACCTGGAAGTTCATCAAGAATGCCAGGTGAACCCATTCTGGAGAATAGAATGTCTGATGTCAGTTAAAGGTGTCTGCAAAGAAAAGGTAAACACTGAAGCATCCAATATGATTCTCTACTTTATGGAACATACTTAGGGATTGTCTTTAGGGTTATTTAAAATTACTATTTTTTGTTGTTGGTGCTGGAGTTTTGAACTCAGGGCTTTGTGCTTGCAAAGCAAGCAGTCTACCACTTGAGCCACAACTCTAGTCCATTTTGCACTGGTTGTTTTGAAGATGAAGTCTCTATTTGCCTTGGCCAACCTCAAACCTCAGTCCTCCCGATCTCAGCCTCCCAAGTAGTTGGGTTTATAGGCGTGAGCCACCTGGCACCCAGCCACTGTTATACGTAATGAAAAATCAGCAATCTACTGTAACTACATTCAACTTTTTAGCTTTTTATCCTGACATTCCCTGTATTTCCAATTAACATTTTTTATTGCTATCTTTTGACTTACATTCTAGAGCTAAGGATATATGAAGCTTATTTAAACAGTCATGCATAAAATATTTTCATCCTTCTAGTGTATTGTGTTTCATCATATCTAAGATAGCATTGATTATAAGATGTCCATTATTTTAACATTACTAAGTAAAAGGGATTGGATTCTTGTCACTTTTGTTTTACTCTCCTGTTTTGGTAGGTCACATCTTCTAGAGCTTCCTGAATAAGTTGTCATGAAACCCAAGTTTCTTTTTTCTTTTTTCTCAGAACTGTGTTTTGACCTTAAGGCCTCACACTTGTAGGGCAGGGCGCTTTACCACTTGAGCCATTCTACTACCCCTTTGTCTTGGTTTTGGTGTTTTTGAGACAATGTCTTGTTTTATAGCCCAGGCTGGCTTTGAATTTGCAATTCTCCTGCCTTGGCATCCTAAGAGGTGGGATTATGGATATGTACCATCACTCCCAGCCTTAGATATAAATTTATTTATGCTCTTGCTTTTCTAGGGAAGGGGAAGGAGTGAAGACAGTGACATGCTCATGATTGGGGAAGGGAATAGCAAGAGCTAAAGTTAAAGTAGGCAGATTAGAAAAGAGAATGTAAAAAAATACGGGGGGACTGCTAGAGAGGAAATACTAGGGAGGGGAAAGAAAAGAGAAGGAAGGGAAAGAATAGAGAAGGGAGAGGAGAGTGAAAGCAACAGATATATAAATTACTTGATCTTTCATTCTGAAAACATTTTACTGCTCACACACTTAATCAGCTTATATCTGGGTAGAATTCTGTATTAGAAATCATTTCTGCAGTGGTAGAGCACCTGCCAACCAAGCTCAAGGTCCTGAGTTCAACCCCCCTAGTGCCACCCTAAAAAAGAAAATAATTTTCTTGGAATTTTGAAGGTATTACTTTACTCTCTTCCATCATTTAAAAATATGAAATGTAATAATTTCATTAATTTTAAGGTGTACCTTTTTCGTGTTTTATCATCTTCAAAGTTAGGCCATCTTTTTTGTTTTATTGTGGTACTGGGGTTTGAACTCAAGGTCTACACCTTGAGCCACTCTACCAGCCCCCTTTTTTTGTGATAGGGTCTCACAAACTGTTTGCCCAGTCTGGCTTCAAACCACCATGCTCCTGATCTCTGCCTCCTGAGTAGCTAGGGTTACAGGCATGAGCTACCGGTGCCCGGCTTCTTGAACTCTTAATTTCAGTTTATTTGACTTCATTGTTTGAACATCTGACTTTCTTGTTTTGGCATTTCTAATTTTTACTTTTGTTCTTCTTTATATTTTCTACAAAGTTTTCTTGAACATTACCCTTTAAAACTAGTCAAAATTTTATTTCATTAATCACTTTTAAATTCTAAGTCTCTTTCTGATTTACCTGTTTTTCCTTTTAAAAATTGTGCTAAAATACACATGAAATTTAACAGTCTTAACTATTTTGATATTAGTAGGTGCATTCAGGTTGTTCAGTCTGCAGAACTTGTGAAAAGTCTTTACCCATTGAACATCATTATCTTATTTTCTCCTTTTCTTAGTTCCTGGCAGTCCCCTCTACTTTCTATCTTTATATATTGACTCTTGTAGGTCCCTCAAATAAATGGAATCACAGTACTTCAACCTGGCTTTTTTTTTTTTTTAAACACCCATCAGTCTTTAATGAATGTGATGTGCAGACCTGGCTTATTTTGCTTAGCAGAATGTCCTCAAGGTTCATTTACTTTGAAGCTGTTCCTTTTATTGCCAAATAATACTACTGTAAACATTTGTGCCTGAGGACACTTTTTTTGTTCTTTTCCTTTCTGAAACAGGATCTTTCTTTGTAGCTCAGACTAGCTTCAAACTTCTGCCTCAGCCTAGGTGGATACCACTACACTCAGCTAGACCTTTTCTCTGCCTATTAGAGAAACTTCTGTTGTTTTCATATGGACATACGTTTTATTTTTCTTAGATTTATGCATAGGAGTAGAATTGGTAGGACATAGGATAACTACTTAAATTTTAAGGATCTGCCAGATTGTTACCTCAAGCGGGGCATCATTTTACATTGCCAACTTCAATGTGTGAGAGTTCCGGTGTCTTCATATCACTAACACTTTATTAATGTCTGGCTTTTGTTTGTTTGTTTTGATTTGGTTTTTAAGACAGGGTCTCACTATATATAGCCTAGGCTGGCCTTGAACTCAGTCTTCCTACCTCGTCTTCCGTGTGCTGCGATTATAGGCATGTGGTACCACATGCAGCTATTGTGTGTCTTTTGATAGCCATCCTCACAGGTAAAAAGTGGCTTCTCACTGTTGACTAAATATTGAACATTTTTCCTGTGGTTTTTGGAAATTTATTCATCTTCTTTGGAAAAATGTCTAAATACAATTTCAAAATATCTATTTACTTTAAAGGACAATGAAGACATGAGAATTTGTTGTCAAGTGCCTGCAGAGGATGAACAGACAGACTGCACTTCTGCCCAGCAACTCAATATGAGTACCAGTCCTCTGTGTACAGCTGAGCTCCCTGTATTAAGGTACATATTTCATAGATGATCTTGAAGATTAAATTACTTTTTCTTAAGCTAGGTGGTGCACACCTGTAATCTCAGACTACAGGAGACTGAAGCAAGAGGATAGTGATTTTGCTGCCAGCCTGGGCTGCATAGCAAGACCCTGTGTCCAAAAAATACATACATCAGTAGCTCAACTGCTTCCTGTGCTGTCCTAAGTCTAATGCCATGCTCTTTTTTCCTTAGTACAATTCAGCAAGAAAAAGATCTAATAGAGGATTCCACCGTTGATAAGGATGTTATCAGTCAGATGACTATACCAATTGCTTCCCCAAGTACTGCAAAGCCATCAAGAGCAAGTACTGCTTCGCCATGTAATAACAACACAAATATACCTGTAGCTGTGGCCCTACAGGTAACTTAAAGAGTTTATTTAATTGAAATTTTATGTTTTCACGTAACACTTTGCTAGAGATTAGTTACTTGGAAGTATTCCAAATTAGGGCTGCCTGCATTAGAAAGAAGCTAAAAGAGATTCAGGTCACTATGAAGAGATGAGAAATTTCAGTTATGTTGTAGAGTGAAGAATTTACTGGTCACTTTCTTTTGGTTGCTTTTTTTTCTGATCATCTTACAGTTAAAGGAAACTTCTTATCCAAGTTATGGGGAATTTATGGTGTTAAAGAGGCTCCAATCTTCTTAAAATTATTTTGTATGATAGTTAAATCTGATGAAACTGATAGATGTTCCCATTTGTATTGAAATTCCAGAATCATTTCATAATTTTATAATGGGAAATATATATAAAGGTAAGGCAAGACACTCACAATTTACCTATAATATATTTTGGTTGAATTCATCCTCTCTATTGTTCTTTCTTGTCTCTCACCCTCTCTTCCAACACTTTTTTGTGGGGGAGGGGAGTCCTGGGGTTCAAACTCAGGGCTTCTACTCTACTAAATTGAAGCCACAGCTCCAATTTATTTTTCTCTGCTTATTTTAGAATGGGGTACAAAAACTGTTTGCTTCTGCTAGCCTTGGACCGAAATCCTTCCAATCTGACCTTTCCAAGTAGCTAGGATTACAGAAACAGGCCACTGGCACCAGGCCTAAAACCAGTTTTGGGTTTCGTTTGTTTTTGGGTTTTGGTGGGACTGGGATTTGAACTCAAGCCTTCCCCCTTGCAAAGCAGGTGCTCTATCACTTCAGCTATGCCTCTAGTCCTAAAACCAATTTTTAATGCGGTTCATTATTCTATTTTCATACATGCATATAAAGTACTTTGGTCATAAGTTCTCTCCTGCTGTCACCACCCCCTTTTACTCTCCACCCACACTGATTCCTCTTCTAAAACAGTTCCTATTTTACATTCATATCATCTCCTCCCACACCCCCACACTCCCCAAGTGTAGATTCAACATATGAGAGAGAACAGAAGAGATTTCTCTTTCTCTGTCTGGTCATTTCACGTAACATGATGATCTTTAGTTCTATCCATTTTCTTGCTAATGACATAATTTCATTCTGACTGAATAGTAACTCCATTGCCTATATATATTACAGTTTTCTTTATCCATTTGTCGGTTGATGGACACCTAGGCTCATTGCCTAGATTGGTTATTGTGAACAGTGCTGTTATAAATACAGGTGTATAGGTAATTTCTCTTGTATGTTGACTTATATGCCCAAGAATAGTATAGTGGGATCATATGGTAGTTCTGTTTTAGTTTCCTGAAGAACTTCCATACTGATTTCCACAGTGACTGTACTGATTTACATTCCCACCTACAATGTTATACGGGTTTCTCCGCCCCACCCTGTCCTCATCAACATCTGTTTTGCCCCAGTTTGGTTTTGTTTTTAGTGAGACTTGGAAAGCAGGCACTCTGCTAGAGCCAAGCCTCTAGTCCATTTTGCTCTGGGTATTTTGGAGATGGGGATCTCTCCAACTGTTTGCTTGGCCTGGCCTAGAACTGTGGTCCTCCCCATCTCAGTCTCCCAAGTAACTACGATTACAAGCATGAACCACTGCACCCAGTTCTGTTGTTTATTGTTTGTTTTGGCTTTTTGTTTCTTTTTGGTGGGATCAGGGTTAGAACTCAAAGCTTCAAGGTCACAAACCTGCAATCCATTGTTTTGTAGTATTTTCTTGATGAAATCCATTCTGGTTGGGATGACATGGAATCTCAATGTCATTTTGATTTTCATTTCCTTTATGGCTGAGGATGTTGAATATTTCTTCACATATTTATTAGCCCCTTGTACTTCTTTTGACAACTCTGTTCAGTTCATTTGCCTATTTATTAATTGGATTATTGTTTTGGTGCTTAATTTTTGAGCTCTGTTACTAGAATTTAATATTCTAAATATTAATCCTTTATTCAGTGAATAGCTGACAAAGATTTTCTCCCATTCTGTAGGTTGTCTCTTCATATTAGTGATTGTTCCCTTTGCTGTGGATAACCTTTAATTTGATGCAGTTCCAAGCATCAATTCTTGATCTTGATTTCCTGAGCAGTTGGACTCCTATTTAAAAAATAATTGTGTATGCCTTTATCTTCACTGTTTTCTAACCCTAGATTTTACTGTAGTAGTTTCAGAGTTTCAGGTCTTGCATTAAGGTCTTCTATCCATTTTGAATTAATACAAGAAGAAAGATAGGGAAGTAGTTTCAGTCTCCTAAATATGATTATCCAGTTTTTGCAACACCATTTATTGAAGAGGCTGTCTTTTCCAATGTGTGTTTTGACTCTTTGGTTAAGAATCAGATGGCTATAGTTCTACAGGTTTATTTTTGGATTTTCTGTTATAATCTATTGATGTGTCTGCTTTTTGTGTTGGTTCAAGCTGACATGAACATCCTTATGAAAAACTCCTGAATTAAAATTACTGTATCATAGACCAGTTGCTAAAACTTACCATTTTCAATGGATACTTTTTTAGTTTATACTTACTGTAATAGCAATGTATTTGAGAATTCTGATTGCCTAGAAACTAACATATGCTTTTCTTGTGACTAGACTGACCCTTTTTTTTCTTATCCCTTCAAAGGAACCCCGAAAGTTAAGTTATGCTGAAGTGTGCCAGAAGCCCCCGAAAGAGCCATCTCCAGTTCTTATACAGCCTCTTCGGGAACTTCGCTCCAACGTAGTATCTCCCACCAAAAATGAAGAGAATGGAGCTCCTGAGAAGTCTATTGAAAAACCACATGAGAAAACAGAAGCAAGAGCTAGTAAGGATTATTCTGGCTTCCGAGGCAATACCATTCCCAGGGGCGCAGCTGGAAAAATCAGGGAACAGAGACGCCAGTTTAGCCATAGGGCTATACCTCAGGGAGTAACTCGACGTAATGGCAAAGAGCAATATGTGCCACCCATATCACCAAAGTAAAAACAAACAAAAAACTATTCAAAAACTTTCTCTCTTCCCATTAAACTTGAGCCATGGCTATATTGAACTGTTTTGGAGGGGAATGGGTAGCCAGGAAGGAAACAGAAAGTAGGTCCTTAAATCATTATGGATTTTGGAATTGAGAGCAGTAGGATCCCAAAATTCATCTCTAAAGTGATTTTAATATGCTGGAGGATTCCAATCAGTATAAATATATATAAATATATAAATACATATATATAAATATAATTTTTCTATTTTTGTTTTTGATTTTAATTTGAAGAGATTTTTCTGCCTGGAATCAATTTGAGGGTTCAGATTTAGCTTGGGTAGGGGACAAAAACGTTATACATCCTTCAGTATAGGAGATGAGGGAGTGAGAGAAAATATTTTTTGAAGAAGCATTTCTGTAAAAATTAGAAATTACTTTTTTAAATCTATTTCAAGTTTGGCTTGGAGAATGCCATCTCTTACTATATGGCCTTGTGTTGCAAAGCAGATCAGTGGCTGGGTTATCTGTTGTGGGTATGAGTGTACAAGAGTGATTTAAGCCAAATCTGTTGTCATGTTAGTAAATGATTTGAAAACAGAATGTATTACTTGAGTAGAATTTTTTCCTTGTTTGAAATTTGGTTTGTCTTTTTGACCTTACTAATATTGCGTTCAACAAGCTGTTAAACTCTGATTGTACTTGGAGGTGTGACTACCAATCAGTTTGATCCTCAAGGAAAACAACGGGAGTTTTTCAAAAATTGAAACTTTCGTCTTAGACCTGAGTGGTGGATAGGTCAAATGGATTTCAGAGGTTTAAGTTGCCCTGTAATTTTTCCCCCTTAAAATGGGAAACAGTTTTTTGTTACTTTATTTGTTCTTTGTTCTGCCTACTCCCAAAAGCAAAATAACCAACCACCTCTATATGTTTCTAACTGCTTTGACCAATCTATATAACTGTTCCAAATGTCAGAATTGAATATTGAAGTATTTTTACTCTTCTGTTCAGATACTTAGAATTTTAGGTCCAAGATGGTAGGGCAGACAGACCTGCCAATAATTTATTTGTGTTAGTGTTAAAGATGAAACAATGTAAATGACTTTTTAAAGTGTTAAATAGTATAGAAAGAAGAAAGAAATTTAAAGGATTATTATGGGGGGAATTTTTTTTCTGTTTACATTGTATTTGTCATCTTCCTTCCCTCTATTCCAAAATACATACCCATACAAAGTCAAGAGATTTTTTTTAGATAAGGTGAAAGATGTTTGAAGAGAATTAATGCATAATTTCTCAATGAATAAAGTTGTAACTGTCATATTTAATAGACAAGTTTACATGCTGGTGTTTAGAAAGCAGCTAAGATATTAAAAACCATGTTGCATTTAATGTTTTAAGTCATACCATGTTCAGAGTTCTGTGTAAGAGGCAGGGTTTTATTTTTCTTTTTAGGGATAGTTTATAACAGTAAGAACTGTCCCTTATGTTAGTGAGTTATATGTACAAATTGAAACTGTAAATTGTGAACACTGGAAAGCACCATTGTGACATAGAGTAAACATCTTAGTAATATATTAAAAATGAATGTAAATGGAAGTTAAAATTACATTACTGTGAAACTCATCTTCCAACTCTAAGTTAAGCTTTGGAGACATATTAATGGGTAACTGTTAACAGCTTTGAAAATAACTGCGCATTTCTATACAAGCCAGAATTACTGTTTCTTTGTAACTTATTATTCAGTTTGGCAATTGTTTTTGATTTGGTGGATTGATAGCATGGTATAATACATTTACTCAGTTTGAAACTATTAATTTCTACACACTATTTTTTAAAATCATCTTTTATAGGAAACATAATAAAACTACCTGTACTAACATTTTGGAGAACTTCATAGGTCCTTTAAAAAAAAGTATTAATAATCATTGGCTACATCTGATAAAAGTGCTTATTCTGGTTTACTTAGATAATGCTGCAGTTGGTAGAATGGTAAACATTTAAAGTGTTAACGCCTCATGAATGCTTTGGATTTCAGAGAATAAATATTTTGTAAAAATGACTTGGTAAGGATTATAAAGTTAATTATTGCACTTAAATGAAACATTGCCCTTTTTTTTTTTTTTTTTTTTGGTAATGTGTCTTAGATGTAGTCTTGAATTACTTGTATGCTTGTGTGACTTATTCCTTGTTCACCAATTTCTAAAAGTCTGCAGGATTTTTTTTGCAGTGCTGGGGATTGAACCCAGGGCCTTGCACATTCTATGCAAGTGCTCTACCACTGAGCTGTGCCCCCAACCCCTAAAGGTTCTAAAGATCTCATTCATACACAAGAAAGTTTCCTTTTTGAAGAAAACAAGTATATTCTAGTTTTTTCTGAAAATGCCAGTGAATGTAGAAATTTAAAGGTATGGTCATTTAAAAATTTTCTTATAAAACTTAATTACTTTGCCTCATTACATCTAAATAGTTCCCATTTGATGAGATATAGGGAGGAATAAGAGTGTGTGTATGTGTGTGTGTATTTAATATATATATATATTCACAGTATGTATTTAGAATTATTTTATTGCAGCAGATTTAAGGTTTGTAACTAAATGATGCCTGTGAGTTGTGTGAAACTGTTGGCTTTTTACCCAGCATTACTCTGATGCGGGTGGGTATTCATAATAGTTCAACTATTTATTGGTTCTTTAGATAGAAGAGTTTGAATATCAAAGTTTTCGCTTCACCCTCATGGACTATTGGTGGATAAAAATAGATAAAGGTGATTCTGAATGTATGGTACAGTGATCTGCCGTAGTGCTTACTGTGTGAAGAGAACAAAAGTCACACAAGTTCATCACCTTGTACATCATAGAGAAGGTACATAGAACATTGCAAAACCTGTCTCCATTTTCTCTCATAGTTAAGGTTTTCATAATATCTAGGGTCTGTCTCTAATGTGAGTAATCTCAAGCTTGCCAGATACAGACTTTGGCATTTAAAACATTTATTCATTTGATTTTTTTTTTTCCAACTGAATTTTGGAGGAAGATGAGACCTTTCAATGATATGGGTTTGTTGTCTTATGTGCTTAATTTACACATAATAAATGACATGCAGAATTTAATTTGTTTTTGGTTCCTAAACTTAAGATAGCTTAAATATTTCACATTCCCTTTTCTTTTTAAGTAACCAGATTTTCTTTGCAAGAGGCTTTAATGATGGAATGTTAGGATCTTCACTAGTATAAAGGAGAATAGGAAGAACATTGCTAAAACGGAGCATATTAAAGTTTCTAGTTTTATTAGTTATAGCCTTAATTAGTCTCTTAACTGTCCACTGATTTTACTTCAACACAATTATACAACACTGGGGTTCTCTCTCTGATATTTGTGTTGGTGATATATAGTAACCATATTTTAAAAGTACCAGTTTTGGTTTTTTATGGTAAAGATAAAACTCAAAGAGAACAGTATATTCCTTTTGAGAAGTTTTTATAAATTCTTAAACATAATATATGATGGATTTTTTTCCAATTTTTTGTATTTCCTTACAATTTGATGGCCATTAATTTAACTTTTTTGGCATATGCTAATGTAGCCATTCAGCTTTCAAGAAGACACATAGACATTTCCATTTTCATTAGCTGAATGAGGCCATTTTAAGAAAAAAGAATTTGTTTTCAAGTTGACAGAGTCTCTTAAAATTTACCCGATTATTAAATGTGTATTTTTGAAAGCTAAGAACTTTCTATGAATCTTTGAGTAGACAGTTTCTAAAAGTACAACTCAGATATCTACACACCGTGTATTAAATGGTTTTATTTTCACTTTTGCAGCAAAGAACACTGATTAGTATATGTAAAGAAATACCCATGTCAATGTTTTTTTTTTAAACCTCATTCAGGTGTCCCTCGTGTTGGAGGAGGGGGGTGTGAGAGGGGAGAACCAGTTACCTGGCTTCTGTTTTGTCCATTGCTTAGATTTGTTCCTGTTGTCAAAACTCTCCCACTAAAAATGGTATGGCACATGCTCATGTATAAAATGTTAACATGAGTACATCTTTGTATTTGTATTTGTTTTCAACATTGCCAAGGTGCTATGGGAAATTAAAATACAAAATTAAAAAAAAATAAAATTATTAAAAAGCGGGACTGGTTTCCTTTTCTGTAGGTGGTATATGTCTCATGAGTATTTGTATTGCCAAGTTTATATGTTGCCTACTCTAGTTCAATCATTATTCTCATCTCATGTTGTTTTTTGTTTGGAGGGTGGGTGATATTTTATGTGTAAAATAATGGCAGAGAACAGGAGTTTCTTTGATTTTTTTTTATTATTAAAAGTGACATGCAGTTTATTGGAAGGCAAAAATTGACAGAGCAATGTGCAGCCTAAGTATTTGCCCTCATGGAGTAGATTATGGCCAGCTAAAGGTTTGGAGACTGTTTAATGGGAAAGTTTTCAGAATAAGCCCACCCTTGTCTTCCTCCTTCTCCCTTCCTTCCTTCCTTCTCTCTTCCTCCCTCTCTCCTTCAAAGGCAAAAACGAGCAGAGTGATCTCTAGGTTTTTAAATTAATGTGACAGTTCAACCTTTATTGAATATTCTAAAGGTATAGCACATTGGTAAGGCGTTTCACACCTTTGTCCAACAGTTTATGAATTGCTTTGCCAAAATGAATTTTTTAATGATGGTAATCCAGTTCTTTAAAATATTGAAGAATATCCAGTTCTTTAAAAATTTCAAGTTATAGTCTCAATCCTCAAATTTTGCTACACTGTTTTATTGTTGTCTGTAAATGGTATAAATTGTGTGTAGATTATATGTATCATTTGATCATTTAATATGAGCATTCGCTTTGATAATTAACTCATTAAGTAGTTTTTGCCCTTTAGTTAATTTGCTGATGATCATTATTTGTCTTAATGAAGAGGACTGTCATTGAGCAAAATGGGCCTCTTGATTACCGTTTTACAGGGCATTAAATGCTAACAAAGCCTTAGGAGCTTTATTTTATTTACTTATATTTGTGATGGTCCTGGGGTATAAACTCAGACCCTCAACTTGCTAGGTGCTCTACCACTTCACTAGCCCTGTTTTGTATTGTGTAATTATGAGATAGGCTCTCAAGAACTCCCTGCCTGGGCTGGCTTTGAACTGCAATCCTCCTGATCTCTGCCTCCTGAGCAGGTAGGATTATAGGTGTGAGCCAGTGACACTCGTCTAGCCTTAGGAGTTTTATATATAAGTATGTTGATCAATTTGACCAAAGTGGGGGAGGTGTATAAATTTCTTCTTTTTTTGAGATTGGGTCTCATAACTTAGCTAAGGCTGGCCTTGAACTTGCAGTTCTCCTCCCTGTGCTTCCCAAGTGCTGGGATCACAAGCACGCATCCTTAGCCCTTCTCTGAATTTCTTCTTTATCATAGCAGAGATACAGCATAATTGTGTATTCCTTTTAGTGGATTAACAGCCAAATTGGTAATCTCACATATAGTCTTTTGAGTTGTATTTAAATGAATGGATTTATCAAAGGTTTAATCATAGAGAGGGCTGATGCAGGTGGCTCTGCTTGCCTGCCAAGTGGAACACCCTGAGTTCAAACCTCAATACTGCCCA